GACGCGTTTCAGAAAGGCGGGGCATAGAGGAGAAACAATAATGTACAGTATGTGGAAAATAATGTGTTTTTTGAACCTTAAACCGCATAAACACATTTCATTACACCAAATACACAAAATAATGTTCTTTTTAGCAACATCATATGACCCCTTTAAGTAAACACCTCAATTTTATTCAGAGGCCCAGCTTAGAAACAAAACAAAAAAAACAAAAAACAAAAACAAATGCAATTTGGTCCTGTTGTTATATTTATATGGATAAAAAGTAAGATGAAATTCTGATAGCCTGTAATGTAAATCAGTGAGGGTTTTTTTTTATGACAGTATAGCTGTTTACATATAAATTGTAACTCTATATCTTCAATCATTAGAATGACATGATCAGCCAAGTGTGATTTGTTCACTGAAGACGGATTTAAAATTTATAGTGTTAGAGTGTGTTTGTTTTTTCCCTCTCTTTGCAATAATATGACTTTGTAAGATGATATTTAAATGCTTAGTTTTATGGTCAAAGCTCTGTAGTTTTTATTGTGGGAGTATAACATAATGCAATGCAACACAATGATGATGGAGAGATGTACAAATAAATGTTCCTCAAAAGCCTGTTTTATCATATTTGATACTTACATTTTAATATGATTCCAGTTAGCGTCCATCTTGAAATATTACTAAGAATATTAAAGTTATTGTCACGTTTACTTTTTTATAAATTATTATCATTAAATGTTTCACAGCAAAAACACTTGTACCACAACCCGAAGGGGGATGATTTTAGAATCATACAAAAATGACTATACTTGCAGGAAATAAATCTCTAAATCTCCTACAAAAGATTATCCCATACATGTTTGTACATAAATAATACGCAGACAAACACTCATCATTTTTGGGCATCAGCACAGGGAATAGATGTCCTTTATGACTCTTCACATGCATCGTCACTACATGCTAACATTGCCAAAACATTTTCCAAACGTAACTATATTATCGACTGCACAGCCAGAACATTATAGGGATTCTTGTTGTGTTCATCTTTATAGCAGAGTTTAGACAGTGTAAGTGGCATGCAATCAAAACGTGAGTGTGTTTCCTCTTTAAGCGCAAGTCATTGCTGCAGTTGTAAAGATTTAGTGTGTGAATATATGATGGAGAGTGAGTGATGATAGATCTGTCATAACTGAGCAATGTATTTTAAGAGCAGAGATCATTGTATCAGAAGACAGAAAGAAAGGACAAAAAAGAGAATATACAGGCTGTTTTTCAGTATCACAGATGCTACAGAGAAGGAACATGCTTATGAAATGCAGTAATTGCAGTGATGCTTCTCACCCATTACTTGATTACTTCTGTTTTGTCTTGGAATTTCAACATGAAAGCCGGCCACATTAATTAATTTATTCTTCTATATCTATTTCTTTATTTTAAATATATTTTTCTTTATTATTTTTTTTTCTAAAAAATGTCTTTATTTTATTTTATTTTACTATTTTTATTCCAAAGAAGCTGCATTTTTAAATAATGCACTGTTTTTTCCTCTTTTATTTCTAGACAGTATTTATCATGCTCTCATAAAATATGTTGATACTATAAACCAGGGGTCCCCAAACTTTTTTCTGCAAGGGCCACATAATTTCCCCTTTCTTTAATGGGGGGCCAGGTCGGTTTGTAACAGAAAATTACATGGGTCAGAGTGACTACTAGTATTATTGTGGAGATTTTATTATGATTTTAAATGTATTTATTATGCCTCCTAATGCTAGAATAGTTTAATTTGTTATGCACCGTACAGACAAATGATTACTTTTCAAGAGACATATAGCCTATTAAAAGAGCATTGTTATTACTATCATAATGACATTTTTTCATATTCAGTGCTATTCAAAATCAAAACATTTACTTATGCATATTAAAGGGGTCATATGATGCTGCTAAAAAGAACATTATGTTGTGTTCATCAGTTTCATGCATGAAAAGGTTTGCTCACAGATATACGTGCTGCCAAAAAGTGTGGACATCTTCATTCATTGCATGCCTTTTGATGTTTGGGTATGTCTCGTTAGGGAGGGCAGCATAGAATTTAATGAGACCGTTGGGCTTAAATGCGTCTTTCAGAACATCACAGTTCTGTAACTCAGCCAACTCAAACTGATAAGAAGGCAGGGCTTCATCAATGTCTGCACTATATTAGAGCCCTACCGATATGGTTTTTTCGGGGCCGATACCGATATTAGGGGGTTAAAAAGGCCGATATCGATATATCGGCCGATATTCTTTTTGTATATTATAGTACAGTACCAGTCAAAAATTTGGACACTTTCCCATTCGTGTGTCCAAACATTTGACTGGTACTATATTAGAATACAGTATATACATAAACAGAATATATATACATAAACACATTTTTTGCAATGATCACTCAAATGTGGTGATCAAACACTTATAATGACGTGACAAAGATATGTAATG